CCTGAATTCCTTAAGACTTTTGTTCCAAAGAGGTACCAACAAGAAAGCTTGTTGAAAATATTAAAAATCCAGAAGCAGTCTCACAAAAACCACTGTGTTTCATGTTGTAGGGAGAGTTCATCTTACAGAGGCAAAACTCATCACTATTGCTTTCCTGTCATGGGCTGTCCCATTTCCAGAATGGATTTGTTCTTCCTCAGATCCCTGAGGTCCCACCCACAACTGGTGCTGCCAGGAGAGAAGGGCATGGAGCAGATCCAGCTTCATGGCAGCTCTGCCTGTGATGGGGGCACACTCCCACCTTCTTCCCTTGCCTGAGAGATGAGGAGGAGCACGGGGCAAGGCCTGGAGGCAGCAGGGGCACATGGGCTGGACACAACACGGTGAGGACAAGAGCACAGCGCCTACAGGAACAGCACTGCCAGGCACTGCATCCCAGACAGTACAAGAGGGAGAAGAGGGAGGATGAAGGTGGATCTGAAAAAGGGCTCAGGACAAAGCCACAGGCTGTCCCACTGAGAAGCAGCATTCCATGGATGGATTTTAAATCACTGCTTACAGACATCCATGTCTGCAACACAGGACATGTGTGACCTCCATACTTTGTGAGAAAATACATTTATTTGAAAAGGAATCCACACTCTTTACATGAAAATTACCAGTATTCCAGGTGAACAAAGTATTCCATACCAGAATATAATGCTGAAAGGATCTACCATGAAGCAAGTATACTTTAGAAAGTACCCCTTTGTTCTACCTATTTTTTTCAGTTACATCTGCTAGAAATAATGACTACAGAATCTCTTTCAACAAAAGGTCATTTATGTCAATGGACAGAACACAGAGGATCAGATCACCTGCTGTAATTGCAAATTAATGCTCTACTGCTAATGCATTAACTACACAATATTGATCTACAATTGAATCATACAGGCTACTGTGAAGTGATTTTTACTTTAATATTTTTATGCTTTTATTGCTTTTTCCATAATGCATTTTCTCTTTCCGCTGGAATTTTCTATAATTGTTTCCCATTTTAATTTCCTGCAGCAAGATGACTTTTAAAAATGTATGTCTCTTTCAAAACCTTGCAAAAATCTAACAAACCATCAGTGTGACATGGTAAATCACATACATGTTGCAAAACATGCAAAAAATTTTGATATACATCTAATTTTGATAAATTGGGGATTTAAAAAAAGCTTACTTAAATTAGAAATAAAATACCTCAAGCTCCCTGGAAAACTGTAATAATGAACTGTATCACAGAAAGGTGCTTTCTAGACATTTCTGGAGCTCCTGGTATACAATGAGTGCAGGCTTATCTCCATAATAAAACTGTTGGGTTTTTTTTTTTTTTAATTTTCATGCCTGTACTGAAAAGGGGTTGGTAAATTCAGGTATGTTAAAAAACTATAGTGCTATGGAATCCGCTGAAGAATGACTGAAATGTTTCAGCATCTTTAATAAGAAATTAAAACACGAGTGGGGTCTTTTTGCAAGTGTTTCTGAAGTCCATAAAGGAGAAGAATGCTCTGTTGAATTACTGTATAAAATCTTCAGCCTGTAGTACTACTGACTACAATAACCTATTTGGTTTCCATACCTGCAGAATTCCTTACATCCAAACCTTTTTGTGAACACTACTAATATGATGCCCTCCATCTTCTAAAGGAGGGGATAGAACATATTTTGATAACTGAAACTCTCTCCCCACACCATTTCCTAATATAACTGCTTAATACCACTTGAGTGGTCATGGCATACAGCAAAATATGGCTTACCACCTGACTCCTCATTGCATTCCTGAATATGACGATTTTGCAAATGGAAAATAAATCTCCATGTTTTAAAAATAAAAGCAATTGGAAAAAATAATGGAGAACTGATTGCAGGTGAAATATCTGAAGAAGAAAACCTGATCTTGCTTTTAATGGAAGAACATTTATTATTTATAAACCTTTCCCCTAACAGATATGCTACATTGCAATTAAATCAACACACACAAAGCCTCCTATTTATCCTGGCCATGAACGTTCCACTGCCATGGCAGAGAAGACACAGGACTTGCTGGGACACAACAAGGCAGGGAAGCCCAGTGGCCAAGGAAGCGCTGCTGTGCCAGGCTCTCGAGCTGGGCTCCATGGACAGATCAGTACAGCCCGAGCTACTCTGCAGTATGGGACCGTGTGTAATGCTGGATGACCCTCCTCAAGCACTGCTGGGTGACAGGGTGGTGAGAGCATTGACACACCCCAGTTTTCAGCCCCCCTGTGCCTCTTTGGCACAGATACATCACTGCCAAAGCCCAGGCTGCTTGCTTCCTGCCTCTGGATCAGTCATAAGGCGTCCTTGTGGCTTTGGAAATGTGAAGTTAAATCACAAAATGCTCAGTCTGAGTGTCTCTTCAGAACCACCTCCAACAGTATACAAAGCAGATACCTTAGATAAGGCTATCACACACACAGAATTCCCCCAGCACAGTCCCAGATTCTACCTGCTTAACTCGGGGACTTGCTGTGCAATGAATCTTAAATACTGAATCACTCAGTAGATCACTTTATTTGATGTTATCTACAAATTCTGTACTTGCTCTGTATTTCAGCACTGAGAAAGCAGAAGTGAATGTCAAAGCTGTAAGCAACAGAGGTTGTGGCTGCTGAAGGAGCAAGTTGGGCATTTGATACCAAGGACATGTGTGAGAGATGGGGATTCAGCGAAAAGAATATTAGCTGGCTATTTGTATGACCTTGTTTAGAAGGAAAACAATGGAAATGATCCTTATAACCCTAATTAGGGTCCAAAGATGACTTGTGAAGATGAGGCTTTTTCTATTACAATGTATCTCATCTGAGAAGCAAATACATTTCAGTCTAGTCCCAGGAAGTGCATTTCTTTAATGACTTTCTATAGAGATTACTCATTTCCTTCTCCCTTCCATCTGCCCTTCCCATAATGAGGGAAAGACTTATGGCCTGTATTCACAATCTAGCATGAAGCTTACTAAAGGATTATTTTAAAATGGATGCAATTGAACTAGTTCAGACCCGTACCTACACAGCCACTTTAGAAACCATTTATCTGGGATTAGTTTAAACTGCTTCCCTACTTTAGTGAAACAGAAACAAGCCACTCAAACTGAGGATATTTGTGATCCAGAGGAGTTTAAAATCAGTTCTAGAGATGACTTAAGTTAAACTGGTGAAGGCTAAGAACAAAATAAGTTTTTTCAGTATCTCTGGGAAAAATTTGTTGAAAAGAGGAATTGTTCTGTAAAGGGCAAAAGATCTGTATAGATCCAAGTAATTTGTGGAAGCCAGTTTCAGGGAATTTGATTACTACTAAAAGGAAAACAATAATTAATTTTTTGTAAATCAAATAGTCTTTCTCTCAAGCACTGACTGGCATGTTGGCATGACATTATATTTCAGAATTTCCCATTACCATTGGGACAAACCAATAGGAAAAAAGAGAAGGAATAAAACCCAGCTACATAATCTATATAAAATAGAAGTGCAAAAGGCACATTATACCGCTTGATTTTTAGTCATCCAGAAACAGATACGACAGACATACAACAGAAAATCATTTCATTCTGTGTAGTTCAGATCATGTAACATTGCTGCAGATAAAGCCATCGAAAGTGCAGCTCTATTAGCAATAACAAATGAAATGCATCTAGAGCACTAAAAACAATCCTTGCCAATCTTAATTTCTTTTCGTAGACAAATGCTGCCCTGCAATTTGCACTATTACTTAATATTTATATGGAAGAAAGTCTCAGACAATTCTGTAAGAATGACTCATCTCTTATCTGCCTATGAAAAAGAAAAGTTTGGATTACTTTAATACAACCGAAAAAGAAAAAGGAAATGGTATTAATAAATCCAAGGAACATAGAAAGTCTATAAAAAAGGAACAGCCTTCTGCTTCAGCTCCCAGAGATGCTAACTTTGATGAGCATTTTAAAAAACCAACCAAACCAAAATACTGAGCTGGATTTTTTTTTTCTTTTTTTTTTTGTGAAACAGCAAACAAATGACTAATCACAGCAGTCACTGTAGCTGTGTAAAAAGGATGGTCACACTGAATCTAATTTCAATGTCAAAGTGAATTGTGGGAATGAAACCACTCTAGTCATCCCATGGAGTGGCACAAAGCCGATATTCACAGGATCCACAGCTGCTCCTGTCTATGGTGGGACCCACAGATAAAGGGGATGAACATCTACCAGAATGTAACAATATAACATAAAGACCACCTGCTCCTCAGCCAGTCTAACATATATGCTGCACTGGTACCCAGACATGCCTGGCAGAGAGGTAGGGGGCTGATTTTTGGCCAATTTCCTGGTGCCTGTAATGCAAGGCCACCAAGGCTTCTTTCCATGACAGGGACTAAGCAGCCATGCCAGTGTGGCCAGCAGCTCAAACCAACCCTCAGGCAATGCACACAGCCTATCTGCTGAATGCCACCTCACCCCAGTGGGTGCAGCCTACACCTCCTGTTTCACTGAACATCCCTAAGGGACACAGATGCCTGCATAAACAGAAGTTACTTTAAACTGGCTCCCTGCAAGACCAATGTAGTACTCTTTGGAAGCACTCTCACCTTGAGCAGGCTCTTTGCAGAAATGAAAAACTGAGAATACAGGAAGAACACATAGGTCAAACTAAACTCTGTGTCAACCCTGTTTGTATGACAAGGGAGAGAGAGATGTTTAAATTTTAAATCATTTAAGCTATAGAGAATAAGTACTAACAAACTCATGGTTAGCCCAGATTGGTATTGGAACATCCAAAATTTTCTTCTGGCAACTCCACCTCCACCTCCATGTGAAATGAATGTCTCTTAGCAAGCAGCATAAAGAGAAAAGCATGAAAACTCTTTTCAATGGTAGAAACTTCGAACTATCCAAATGTTCTAAAGGAAGATAAAGACACATTAGGATCTTAATCACAGGTACTTGAACATTAACATTTGAAAGAAAGAAGCAGTACCTGTAAGACAGAAGCCCCACTGTGCAGAAACTGCAGTCCAGCCTCAGCAGAATCGATGCCTCCGGTTGCCAAGATGGGAAATCCTGGGAGAGCACGGGCGATGGCGGACACTGCACGGAGGGCAATGGGCCGGATAGCATTTCCTGCAGAAAACCAGGACACTGCTTAGCAACATCCCACTGCCCCTGATGGAACTTGCACATCCCTCATGGTACAACAACATCAGGAACTAACATCTAATTCTGAGGTGAACAGGTTATATTCATTTATAAACTGACACCAAGTGGGCTGCAAGTGGTATCAACACTTGTACAGGAAATTTATGCATGCGGCTGGAATATAGAAAATGGCAGAAACATTTGGATTAACAATGCAAAGCTAGCTTGAACATTTTAGCTGATGCTCAAAGCAAAGACTAACAATGTCTGTGACAGAAAGCAATACTTTACCATACAGTACATTGTAGATAAAGAAATCTATGTTTTTACATAAAGACTCAGGTTGATTTTTTGAACCTAAATGTTGTCCAAGAGCAAACATCTCATTTATTTATGTTCAACTAAATATTGTTTAAAAGTGCCATTTCACTGCACTTGGCATTTAATATTTTATTTGTTTCCCCTTCTGGATGCTTGTAGATTCAGATAATTCTTTAACTAAGCCTCCGCTAACTATTAATATGATTGTCAAGTGCTCAAAAGAATAAGGTACATTCATTTATGGTAATATCGCCAAAACTGGAGCTCGTATTTCAAATGGTACATAGAAGTTGAGTCAGACAACCCCTTGCTATATTTAGAGGACTATGATTAAAGTCTTAATACACTGTGTCTGCAATGCATCTGTTTTGACTACATTCTACTGATGGTATGCGAGTATTAAAATATGCCTACAGATGCTGCTCATTAAATGATGAACAACATAGATGACACTTCCAGTTATTTTTTAGGCTAGTTGGGATTTCTCTAGATAACCCCCACATTATTAAAATTTCTACTTAATTTAGAGAAGCTTTAGGATAATTTGATGCCATCAGTGGGCAACAACAGTGTAAGAGAGGACGCATCACTCCCTGAGGACCTGTATGGCTGTGGCTGTCAGGCAGTTTTTTCCCCCCTCAGTACTGCATGAAGTAACAGCAAATAAACTTTATGCACATGAAAGGGACAGCCTAACCCAAGATGCACTATTGATATGTTTTCAGGAAAATTACAGCCTGATAGATAAAAATGTGAAATTTCACCAAAACTGCTTTAAAGAATCTAAGATCCCAACAGAACAGTTCACAGAAAAAATCTGGAGTTGAGCAGAACCTTTCCCTAGGACACTAGGAACTACTTCCCATTGTTTGTAATGTGTTTGAAAGGAACAGGACAATTCTTTAAAAGAGGATGACTGCTAAGTGTCCAAAGAGCAAATATGACATAATTCATGGTCCAGTCTTAGAGATATGTTTGAGGAAAAAAAAAAAAGGGAAACCATGCTGTTTGTGCTGATAGATTTACAAATAAAATCTTTTGGAAGGTGTACAGGCCAAAACATACACTACTCAGCCAAAACCACTGAAAGTAATCTCATCAAAAACAGTAGTTCAGGAAATTCTTCAAATAATCAGTTTTTTAAATTAAAGCTAAAAAGCAAGCATCAGACTTGCTACATTGCTTTCAGGCTAACACAGCTCCAGAATCTCAGTGTGATGAGGTAGCTGTTTTTTAGGAAGGCGAATGAATACAGACACTGGTAACTCTAAAATCATGTGGCTACAGGGAAATTTCTTCCCAATCTGCTTTGAGGCATGAAGGTTTATATACTTGTAACCCCAATATAACTCTTAAGAGTTTGCTTTCAATGGGTTTTAAAGGCTTGTAGACCCTTGGCCTTAAAGACATCTTGTAGCAAAGAGTTCCACAACAAAATATTTCCAGAATATAATTAATCCCCTTCTCACTTAAATGACTGTCTCTGTATAGTGGTCAGTCCAGGAAAAGGACCAAATGACAGCTTATTTAAGGTTTCAGCACAATAGGTAATCAGAAAGGCTTTCATTCAGCTCAAAAAAATCAAGGATATGATTCAATGAAGTCTAGCAGAATTAGTAATGAGACTTCAAATTTATTATGGAAGATAGGTACTTCTTAGTACTAGCTGAATTTGATATTCATAATATGAGTTATTACTTACATTTGGTGATTAGTAAATTAGTGATAAATTGGTATGATTGCAAAAGTATTCCATTCATTTATAATTCACCCAAATGAATTTAAAAACATTTCAGAAGTGCTCCTGATGAGAGTAAATAAATGGATGTAATGACAATCAGAGAGTTCACTAAGGTCTCACCATTTCTCCCAGCATTTTTTTTATTAGTCTACTCATATGGAACAAGCACAACATAAGCTGAAGCCATTCTCCCTCACATTTTTTCATCAACAATTCAGAAGCTTCCCCCTCTGTAACAAAAGCTGCTGGGCTGGAATACAGTGTGATTTGTTTGTGATAGAGATCCGACTGCCTAATGAAATGGTGAAACAACCTACCAGATTAAAGAAAAAAAAAAAAGGATGCAAACAATAGAAACAATACTAATGCCAAGCTATTAAAAAAGAAGGCAAATTAAAAAAAAAAAAAGAAATTAACTCAATTTGACTAACAATCTCTATTTTCCTGCATTTTCATACAGGTACATAGGAAGGTAATAAATTTCATTACAGAGATTTGTGGAGAAGGAGTTTTGAAAAGATTGAAATAAAGGAGATTTAATGCCAAATTTTAAAAGATCTGTAAGTAGTAGTGGGAATTTGCAGAACATTTTCTGATAAATCCAAGGGTATTTAAGAAGCTGAGATCCAAATCCAGCATGCATTTGAAAGACAGCTCACATACTAAAAGATAAGCATCTACCACATACTTTGACACGTTGGGATCTGTAATTCCACTAGTTAAGCACCCGTAGCTGAGGAAACTGCTGATATGGTACTCTCCTGATAGAAGTGTTACAGCTGCTACCAGATGCTAGATGTGGCTATCATTTACCTTGCTGTAAAATAATGAGATTTAATAAACAAAGTCCATTTATCAAGACCTCAGGCAGGCGAGTGAGATATAAAAATGAAAGACAGAAAAATACCTCATGGAGATGACATGCTACTCTATGTTGAAAGCTACTCTTTCCAGTCTCATTAATTATGGAACAAGTATTTGCTATTATGGAAAGACATAAACAATGAAATCATTTTAAAATGTGAAAGCCCCTGACCTTTTTCTTGCCTTAAAACAAAATGCTTTGGTTTTCTCTATTATTTTATTTCATTTTATTAAAAGTAAGACTTTTAACACTATAGGTCAAGGAAATCCAATAGTGAAAACCCAACATGAAGGCGAAGCAGAACACAGATCAAGCAAACGTCTTTCCCTCATCAGCACAGGTAGGCAGAGCTGCTCTTGTCCACTGAGGATAGCAGGCTGATGACAAACTGATGATGAAAGACAATATACCTGCTTATCTGTTTGTTTGTTTTTCCTTAGGAAGTAAAACACCCTTTACCAATGCCAGAAGACACATGTTTTATTATGACTTCATAAGTACTAGGAGTCCTGAGAGGACTTGATCATGTCAAACACCAAAAATGTTCACTAGACTGAGGCTTGAGAGCCAAACTTTCTTCAAGAAGCCTGGTGTTATGTTTCAAGCAACCTAGTAGCTTTGGGACTTCCTAGCAGAAACAATTCAGATCTTCTGATCCCAGAGATCCATCAATGAGAGAAAAATAATCTCAGATGTCTTGAATACTGGGCTACTTTCTCACTTGCGATGTATTGGACCAATTTGATAGTTTAAGGTTTTCAATGCATATATGAGGTAGCTCTAATGAGGCCTTTAAATAAAGATGATCCCAGTCCATTAAAAAGAGCCAACAGAGACAATTCAGAATGGTACTACTGAGACTGAATCTTGAAACAGTCTCAGCGGTCTTTATCAAACTCTCTGTGAGCAAGAGAAACAGATTTTAAAGGAAAGCAAACTCTCATACCTTTGGATAGTAGATCAACTCAAACCAAATTTTGTATCTATGGATTCTAGATGGAATAAAAATGAATTTGGGTCAATTCTCTCCCCTCTGTGCATTTTTCAAGTAAAATTATTTTTTAATTTGCTTTATATTATATTACAGATTTGAGATTTAAACCACTGAGCCTGAATATTACAAAGAATAAGTAGCTGATATATATATTTTTTTACTAATAAATCATTGCTAAAGTCTGTGCTTCTAAAAAACATAAGCCCCCAAATCTACGCAGCATCACCTTTCCTCCCTCTGTAGATACCTTCTTGGAAGAAAACTGACACGGTTATGTCCCAGACTGTTTAAATAAATCATGTTAATTAAAAAAGAACCTAATGACAGCAAATAATAAATGTGGGCATTATACAAGGAAAATGGCCTGGAAAAGTTCAGGCATTGCAGATATCAATCCAATGCTTCAGAAAGTAAATAGGTAAGAAAGTTTGGAGATCAGGAAAAAAGCCCAGAAAACATAATTCTTTGTCAAGACATTTCCAGCATAGTGTATATACTGCCTAATACTGGCAAAGTACTTTACATAATCTGCATTTGCAAACAGTCCAGGCAAACTTGCAGGTTACACACAATCCATTTTCATCACATTCCTTCCGACTGCAATTACTCTGCTCGCTCTTTCTTTCTGCCACCTGTAGGTGGCCACCATAAGCTACACTTATCAAATAACTCATTAGCAGGGTTTTCAATACTGTCATATCCAGATAATTAGCAATTTATTTAAATAACCAATTTCTGTGGAAATAATTGCCACGGAATGCCCTGAACCTACTTTTTATAAACTATAATAAAAGTGTTAAGATAATCCCTGACATTTGCAAATGCCATTAGTTCACCTTTCCTTTTGATAGTGCTATGGCATTATGTTTAAACAATTACCTGATAACGCGGCAGTTTAATGAAACAGTGTAGCAGACACATCCTTCAAAATGACCAGAGAATGCATTTATATGCAGAAGAAAACCCAGTGAACAGACGTGTTTAGAGAGAAAGACTATCCACAGTTGTTATGAGATCTGCAAATGGGACACACAATATTTCCTGCAGTAAAAAATACAGGAAGT